ATTACCCCCCCCACACACACACACACACCCCGAGCTGTACCACAGACCACATGATAGGTCTGCCAAGGGGAGAACGTTTTGGAAAGGAATTTAAACCACTGCATCCCTTTGGAGCTATTAATAACTTCATCCTGTATAAAGAAGAGTAAAATGCAGCATTAAACAAAATGCACACGCCTTGAAAATGGAAGTTTCGCTTATGGTTATTTACCCTTTGATTTTTTTTTGTGCTCCTGTGACTTCCAAACCATTCTAGTCAGTCATGATTGTTACCTCCTTTTTACTAGAAGCCTGTTGCAGCACCGTTGAGTTTGGAAGTACCAGTGAAGATTAAAGACCTAATTTCAAAAGATGCACATAGTCCATCTCTCCTGCAGCTGCTTATTCTGCTTACCTTTAGGCTTTCATCTTACCACACAAGGCAGGAAATAGACTCTTCTTTTCCAGGTTCAAGACGTAAATCTGTTTTGGTAACATGTGCCGGGAACCTTCAGAAGAAAATAAGCCCAAATACTTGTGTATCTTTGGTGAGATGCTGCAGGGGCACCTGTTATAAAATAACCATCTTTCTAAAGTCCCTTAGCAGAAAATGGATTTGTGCTATAAAACATCTGCTCATAAAAAGACTTTGAATTTTTAATTTTTCTGTGTAAAAAAAGTTGCTTTAAGTCGAAACATCTTAGAAGATGTGCTTTCTCCTTTTGATTATTAACACTGCTTTCAAATCAGTAAGTCATGACAAGATGAGCTGCATGAAAAGTCAATAGAATGCCTTTTATTTGGCTTGCAGAGAACCTAACCCCTTATTCCCAAAGATTCCCTTGTCAGTGTGCCGGCCATATAGTTAACCTGTCCTGGCCCTTGAGTGGTATCCGTTCCTTAAAGAAGATGTGGCTTAGGGGCGCCTGGGTGGTACAGTTAGATAAGCATCCAGTCCTTGGTCTCGGCTCTGGCCCTGACCTCAAGGTCATGAGATGGAGCCCCACACTGGGCTCTGCACTCAGCAGGGCGTCTGCTTGAGATTCCCCTTTTCCCTCTGCCCTTCCTCCTTGTGCTTTCAATCCCTCTCTCTCTTTCTCTCTCTCTCAAATAAATTTTTTAAAAAAAGGAAAAAAAGAAAAAGATGCGGCATATGTACGCATATCATTCAGGCATGACCAGGAAGGGAATCCTGCCTTTGAACAGCATGGACAAACCTCGAGGGCATTATGCTAAGCGAGAGAAGTCATACAGAGAACAGATACTGTGTGGTATCGCTCATAAGTGGAATCTTAGAAAAAAAAATTTTTTTTAGAAAGTCAAATTCTTAGAAGCAGAGAGTGGAAGGGTGGCTGCTAGGGGCAGTGCACGGGGGCCGTAGGCGAAGGTTGAAGGTCAGTCAATGCAAACTTCCAGTTATAAGATGAATGAAGGTCCGAGGATCGAATGTATAGAGGGTGGCTCTAGTTGATACCTGTGTTGTATAATTGAAGTTTGCAAAGAGAGTAGCACTTAAATGTTCTCACCAAAGTATATATAAGAATGTGTGAAGTGATGGGTGTGTTAATTAACTAAGTGGGAGGAATCCTTCCACAATGTATGCATATGGCAAATCATCACAATGTACACTTTAAATATCTTACAATTTTGTCATTCATACCTCAGTAAAGCTGGAAAAAAAAAAAGAAATAAAAAAAAAAAAAACAGACTATCCATTCCAGCCAATCTCTGGAAAGTAAAGCCTAGGTTCTCATTGACTTTCATCGAAATGTAGGAAGTTTACTTAGGCCCTAAATAAAAAAATCTCCCAGTAAGAAGTCTTCAGTGAGTTCATGCATATAAAATAGTAAGTGTGAGCTACTATTAGTTAGCACAGTTAACACTTTTGCCAGAAAAAGGTTCAGCCCTGAACCAGATTCCAGCCTTCTTGGGAACTGCAGATGCCCGGAAAAGCCGACGTTTGCTGGAATTGCCTGTGAGCCCACAAGGACAGATTCCTTCCCTCGCCGCCCGGCTCCGTGGTGCTCCTGCAGAGTCCTCCTGCCTCTACACCTGTAGCTGGACTCGGGCAACCAGCCTGGACTCTTGTTTCCTTCCTCTGGCCTCCTGTGGCTCTTGCTCTGGCATATTCAGGCCCCGGGGACCCACAGATGATGAACGAGATGCAGCCCCTGACTTCAGGAAGTTCGGGCAGGTCACAGAGACAGACTCGAAAACCATAATTGCCACCAAGTGAAAAATGTGTCTGGGAAGAGCTGTGCAGAGTGGGTCACAGGAACGCAGAGGTGAGGCACACAGGGCCGACTCCTTGGAGCATCTTGTCCCATCGTTCTGCCTCCCCCTGCACGGTGGAAGCCACCTGAGGGTGCCAAAGCACTTTGACTTTTATTGAAGGAGAATGTGTCAGCCTCCTATTTCATCAATTATGTAACTTGGGCAATGGTGTAATTTTGCATTTAGCTTAAAAGAAGAGACATCATCGAAAATGCTAAATACCGTTTCCATTTAAGTGACAAGGTTGTCAGGTCCATCAGAAGGTGGGTGTCTAAGTTGTTTTCGTTATTTGAATATTATCCAATGTAATTTTATATGATAGGCTTGAAAAAGAGTTTTAAGTATTAGTACAGACCGTGTGGCAAATTCCATGGCACAATGAAGGGAGTAAGATGGAAATACAGTGACATCCTTTAGGGTCTTCAGTGGCCCGACTGGAGGGTCTTTCTTCACGACGTGGGCGCCCAGCCTCTAGACAGGGATGGTGGATAGTTCCTCGTTCAGTTTGCAGATCGAGCCCAATGAGAACGTCGCGTAAGGTTACACGGTCTGTGCAGTACCCAACTCCGGAGGGCCCTTCCCTTACCCCGGGATGTGAGTGGTGCTTCTTAGAGCTTTTAAGTGCTCTGAGCCCAGTGGCCTATTTTCTCATCGGATCCCCAGTTACTTTGTTCTGGGAAACCCACTTCTTCACACATAACCCTTTCTCATCACCCACCCCTCTCAATCTCTTTCCCTCGATGATTGGTCTGTAAGTGTTCGTAGGGTGGCTAGTAGTGGTTTTTGAGAAATGTGGTAGTTAGTCTAGGAGGGAGAGATGTAAAAATGGGGGAACAGAGGTGCATCTTAGAGATCTTAAAACGCAGTCCTATCACTTTTCTCGGCAAATACTCGAGCGAGAGACAGCTGACCTAACTCCCCTTCAGATGTCTGCCATCATCTCCAAGGCAAGGAGTCCCAGCCCTGTCTTTGTCTTGAAAGAGTCACACAGTTCTCCTGGGCCTCAGCCCCATCATCTGCAGTATGAAGAAATTGGACTCTAGCGCCTTTCCGATTTAACATGACGTAATTCTCAGAAATAAAGAGTCACCAGGCCTATAAATCTCTCTCTGACGCTCCTTTGAGCTCTCTGTAGGATTGAATTCACACTTGGAAATTTCACGCAGGCGTAGAGTTGGTGTTTTCCACAGTGAGGCCTTACTGACACTAATACTTGACCAGAGTAGCCAGATGCCTGTGTGTACCCACCACATACTGTGCTAGAGGGGTGTGTTCAAGCATAAAGTAGCCAGCGCTTCCCCCTTACCATAGGTGCTTCTCCCTGCCCAGCTGTTTTTGAATTAAGTCGTGGAACTCAGAATGTGCTATGCCCACAAGGGTTCGAAAGTACCTCATGTCAAAATTCACAGCACTCTCAAATATATGAAGTTAAACTACGGGGAACAGTTCACAAAGGAAATTAAATATTTGCTCTAATTGCAAGAAATTCCTTTAGAAATGCGAAAGCCACGCAAGAAGGATTTCTCTGATTAATAGCAGGTCCCAGTCTCATGCAAAGGTCACAGATGTTTCAGGGTCCTTTCTTTTTTTTTTTTTTTTCCTTTCCTTTGAGCCGCCTTTTAGGCCAAACAGAGTCAGCGCTGGGTGGATGCTCAGTGCACTGTCTCCCCTCTCTTTTCTGTGGTTCCGTTTTCTACCCACGTTCCCCCACCCCCTCCAGAGCTCACCTGGATTTTGCCGACACCCACTTGGCCACGGCTCCAGGCATCTCTGGCCCTGGTAGACAGCAGAGGGTGGCTTTCACAATCTTACTAGGGGCGCAGGCTTCGGTCTTTTTAATTTTTCAAAGTGGGGGGATTGCAATACAACAAAGCCCTTTTCTAGCCAGATTTGATGGGGGTCGAGTGACAGCAGCTAGAGCAGAGGTCTTAAGGCCGTTTGGGGCTGAGTATGTCCGTGGACTGGCGAGGAGGTCTGGGTGGCCGGAGCAGGGTGAGCAAGTGGGAGGGAGACAGAAGAGAAGGGCAAGAGGACCAGCCTGTGTGAGATCATCGTGAGGCCTGTCGTATGGACTTGGACTTTGACTCTGAGTCCTCAAGGAGTCAGTCTAGTGGGAACGTAGGCCTATGAACGGACAATGGCAGTACTGTATTCCTAGAACTGTTTTGAAAAAAGTCACTAAGCTAAGATCATGTGCCCTTCGTAGTCCCAGCCATAAATATTAGAAAAACAAGCTAAATACTAGTTATACTTGGCCCTTTTCTGGTAAATTTTACCCACTTGACCAGTAAAAGCTGAATCTTCACATTGAGATATACATTCTCTAGTTTCCACGTTACCTTCAATGGCTAAACTCTTTCCTTGCCAGTGTCTCTTCATAGAATTAAAACACTTCTTTAAGAATAACTGTGCTCAAAAAAAAAAAAAAAAAAGAATAACTGTGCTCTCAGAGCACTGCTGCTTGTGATTGCACATCTCATCTGCACATCGGATCTGCACATCACACTTGCGTGTGAATATCTTTCCTCATCAATTCAGATTTAATGGTCCGACTTTCCCACTGATGAGCAGCAGCCCACCCATCATCCCCAGACAATGAAATAGAACCAGTAACTTCTGTGGATCGTCTTCTTCCTAAATCTGTTTAGAAGAGGAATTTTCAAAGTAAGGAGGGAGAAGGATGGCGAACGCTCTATGGGTGATCGTGACATACAAACTGTGTTTCTATTGTTCTGTTTTGCTTCTAGCTACAAGAAGACACATGAAACCCTGAGTCACGCTGGGCAGAAGGCGACTGCAGCTTTCAGCAACGTTGGGACGGCCATCAGCAAGAAGTTTGGAGACATGAGGTACTGCGGGAGAGAACCGTGGGGATGGTGCTAGTAAGCCTTGGCCTTCTGAGGGAAGGGGAGCTTTCTCTATTGGCTGGTCTTCCTAATGTATCCTTTTTTCATTGGATTAAAATTCTATGTGGCTGATTGTGATTAGTGAACTGAGATAAATTTTTATGATGGAGAATTTTCTGCCAGCAGGTCTGCTTAGTGAGCCTGGTCCCAAATATGTGTCCTTTCCAGTAGGACATGACCTAGTAAAAATGGAAGATCCAGGGCTCCTTTAATTCCCAGTAATAAGGGGTGATCTCAAAAGAATGCAGCACATACTGAATTTTATTCATGAAAATTTAAACAGTAAGTTAAAATATGCATTCAGCGGAATATGCTCTGATAAACTATTCTAGGTTACATTTTTGTATACATCCACTTAGGGTATTTTTTTCTATGCTGAATACATACATATTTATTCTTTTATTCCAGAAAGCTTCCGTGGTATATAGTCCTTGCACATTTTGGTTATTTTCAGTATTTCATTATTATATAAAGTTAGGGTGAACATCAAGATTTTGAACTGAGAACCAAACGTCCTCATTATAAGTGCCCGAAACACAATGCACTTTTGGCCATTTTTATTTTTTATATTATGTTTTAGTAAGTTATCTCATATGGAAGTGTTAAATCTTTTTTTGCTTGTTTAAATACCTATCTTAGTTTATTTTGAATTTGGTGATATGCATAGGAGATTTTTTGTTACAAATGAACCTTATTTTTCTCTCTAGAAATCAAATTCATTTTTTTCTAAAGATTTTATTTATTTATTCATGAGAGACACAGAGAGAGAGAGACAGAGACAATAGGAAGAGGGAGAAGCAGGCTCCCTGCAGGAAGCCTGATGCGGGACTTGGGACTCAATCCCAGGACCCCAGGATCACCGGGATCACCCCTTGAGCTGCAGGCAGACGCTCAACCACTGAGCTACCCAGACATCCCTCAAATTCATTTTTTTAAAAACTTCTGAAATTTCTTCCTTTTAAAAAAACTGCATATAAAAAAAATTAAAAAATTAAAAAAAAACTGCATATAATTTCACTGGATTCTTAAACTATTTCTTTATTACCCTACAACTTTGATACCTAGAGGCAAATCTTTATATTGTGGTTATTTTGGGCTTCATAAATTACTGGATTGTGCCCATGTATTATCTTAATAAGTTGGCTTTCATGAGGCTGGAGTTAAGTAAGTACAGGTGCATGAATCTGAGTACATTCTTTTATCTTCATATTTATTAATAATACTATAATGAAAAGCAACTGAAATTTTTCAGTGGTTGCGTGGGATGAATAGGTAAACCTTCTGGATTATTAAATAACCCTAATTTTATTACAGATAAATTTGCTGTCATGTCAATGGCATTAAAGCATTTACCTAAACTAATAAAATAATATCTGAAAACAGAAAATACCCTATTACATCCTATTACCTCTTATATACAAGAAACTATATTTAGTTTCTTGTTATTTATTATATTATACCAATATATTTATATTTACCAATATATTTAAATACCAATATATTTAAATATGCCTTATTATACCCTATTACCTGTTATATCCAAGAAAATACATTTTGCCATGTTTATAAAACTTGCTCTCCACATGCTTGGTTGAAACCTTTCACTGGAACACTAGGACCACAGCATGATACTGAAGTGTTATTTCTCCCAATTTAGGGGACTTTAACAAAACATCTCTGAAGCTTTTTTAAAGTACATATTTCCAGATTCCACCTCTCTGAAATCGTGCCTCAGTGCATCTTGGGTGGAGCCTAGGAAGCTGCATTTGTTGTTTTGTGTGTTTTTAAAAATATTTTATATGTTTGGCAGAGAGAGAGCACGCAAGCACAAGCAGTGGGAGTGGCAGGCAGAGGGAGAGGGAGAAGCAGGCTCCCCATTGAACAGGGCGCCCGATGTGGGGCTCCATTGCAGGACCCCGGGATCATGACCTGAGCCGAAGGCAGACGCTTAACAAACTAAGCCACCAGGCACCCCTAGGAATCTGCATTTGTAACAAGCTGTTAAGTGGTTCCACTTCAGGTGGTCAGGTTATGAGGCTGCGTGTCACTTAGCTCACCTGTACCCAGGTGGTTTCAGTCATGAAATGGGGATAAAGCTAACAACATCATCAGGTTGTTATAAAAGTTGTAGAAGAGAGCCTGCCATTTATTAAGCACTCAATAAATGCCACTTTTTGTCCTTACTAAGTGACTGTCCCAGTTACAAGGTGACCCCACATGTTGGAAATGAGGGGAATGTCCATTAACAGGAGTGCACTGTAGTACTTCATAGAGGTTTTTTTGTTCATTTTCCTAAGTGGAAAAACGTGAAAGCTGTTTCACATATCCACTATGTTAACATATCCACGTTCATACACCAATTGGTTAGAACATCAAGATTGTGTTGACTTCTTTTTCCTTAGTTTTAGCGTGGCTTTATTTTAGGGTAATGAATGATCTATTTTCCAAAAGTTTCAAACTTCTCATTAATTGTTTCTCTATGTGGAGGATACAATACTTTCATTATAAACTGTAGCTAAAAATACTGAGAAGTGTAGCCTATGTTACTGGAGACTCCAATACGGTCTTGTAATATGTTGTAGAATTTGCAAAATTCAGACTTACATTTTTCTCAGACTATAACATCTAACATATATCACTAAGGATAGATCTCTGTGAAAGCAACAAGTTTTGCAAAAAATCTTTAGTTTTAAATCATGCTAGAACAAGTGATGTATCTGAAAATCAGATTTGAAAAGTACTTAAATGTAGTATCATAAAGATTCTTAAATGAGAAAACTGTAAGTTTTTATTTTTTATTTAAATTGATTGACCAGTTTATAAAATGTAGAGAAATTTTAAAATTCTATCATATTTTACTTCGAACTCCTTGTTAGTTTAAAACATCGTATTATCCTATATTCTACTATACTATACTATAAAATTATATACTATATAATTATAGTTATACTATAAAATTCTTTTGTGTGTTCTGAGAAACGATTTTTGAACTTGTTCAAAAAGATTGCCAGCAAAATTCAGGTACCTGGAAGGAAAAACCATACCTCCCAGTTTTTCTTTGAAATTATTACAAGTTAATACTTAACAGACTTTAAAACCCTAGAACTTGAGCCTTTTCATAAGTTAATGAAAAGCACTGTGTGAGAATTTAAACTGATAGGTTTTCTAAAAACACGTCGTATTTTTCAAGTGGAGTCTCATTTTCTCCTGATTGCCATTGACTGAAGTCCCCTTTGTCCTGTCAAGGGACTGCCCCCCTCTCTTTCTCTACCTGTAAAATCACATTTTTCACAGCTGCTGAACTGAAACTGCAAAGTTAAAACGAGGACACATGAAAGTACTCTGCAGACCTGCAAGCTCTTGGAATCGTTTTTTACCATAATACTGGCATCTTCTTGGAAGTTCTCAGGCATTTGTTCCAACCACGTGTGAACTAGTGGAGATGAGGGTCTTTGGAGGAGACAGAGACGTTTGTTAGGGACGCCTGGGGGGCTCAGCGGTTGAGCGTCTGCCTTCAGCTTAGGCGGTGACCCAGGGGTCCTGGGATCGAATCCCGCATTGGGCTCCCCGCAGGGAGCCTGCTTCTCCCTCTGCCTGTGTCTCTGCCTCTCTCTGTGTGTCTCTCGTGAATAAATAAATGAAATCTTAAAAAAAAAAAAAAAAAAAAAAAGAACCTTGCTAGAGTCCAGGCATCTCCATAGAGCCATGAGAAGGATAGTTAGAAGCACAGCTTATAACAGGTTGGTACAGTAATTATTAAGACACATTGAAAAGGAATAAGAAACGGAGTCCCGTCCTCTCTGCTCTGGGGCTCTGGGGGGCAGGTGCACCGCGGCCCTGCTGCTAACTCTGCTCCTGCTCTCTCCTGTGCTGCGCTGCGCCGGCTGCAGGTCTCACTCCATCGGGTAAGCGCTGCGTCTGCGGCCCGTGGGCCCCTTGCCGCCCCCTTCCACCCCAGAGCCCCCAGCTCCCTCCACTGTGGGTGTGCCTCAGCCAAAACCCTAGATCCCTTTCCCGGAGACCGCCCGTCACCAGTCACCAGGGAGTTACAGACCGTAGGCCATCGAATGTGTGTGGATTTATTTAAGCCTGTATCTCTCGCCTTTCCGAATCACGGATACCGGTTTCACTTGCTGAGCAGTCTCTTAGGAATCCCTTCCTACATCCTCAGTCCTTCCTGCATTGGCAGAGGTCCTTAGAATTGAAAGAAGTTAAAAAAACGGAAACCGGAAAAAAAGTTGAGAGTTGTGGGGTTTTCTGAGACTCGTGAAAAGTGAGCTGGAGACACAGAAAAATATTTTGTCTAGATTGTCGTGTTTTTCTGAACTTCTTGTAACTGTTTCTTAAGTTGGATGGTTCACCTTCCCCTTTCTGTACCGTCTGAAGTGGAAGAGGAGAAAGGTCCCGAGAAGACCACCCTTGTTAGGAAGTGTGCCATCGTCCTATTAAACCTGCCCTTTGCTGGAATCTTATTCTATACCTGGGGGTGGGGGTGGGGATTTTTTTTTCCCTAAGAAAATTGCCTGTATTGAAAGAGATGAATAGATTGATAATGCTGATGAATTTCTTTTAGTAATTCGTTTTTAAATGCCATTTCTGAGAAACATTTGCCTAGTGTCTGAGTAAGACCATAAGGACTCCCTGAATTTCTCCGGCCTTCTCTTTCTGAGTTCTAGTAGAGTGCTGCTCATACGATGACCTCAGTGGCTATGGCTGGGGAAGGGTGAGGAGTTTGATCCCTTGCTGTGAGCTTCTTGGGAGGAGAGAAGCAGGCATGGTGTTGGAAAGGGTGTTGGGGGGCAGTGCTCTCCCTGCATGGACCCCATCCGTGGTGCTTCCTCCCTCTGCCCGGCCTGATTTCTGACGGAATTCTCAAAGACATAGCAGGCGATCCATCAGAAGAGAGATGCACCAGCCACCGTAGGACTGGTACAGTGAGAAGGCTGAGCCTCTTAGGCTCCTCCGTAGCGTTGGTGTATTTGTCCCAAATGTCCTAGAGAGGAGAAGTGCCTGGCCCCGTGTTGGACTGCGTGGGTTGTGGTGACCTCCCTCCTGTTTCCTTGAATGTGTGATGTTAACTGCATGCATTTGTCTGGAGAGTTGCTCTACCCTGGAACGGCTAGCTCTTGCCTGCCAGGCTCTGCTTGGCACAGCCCTCCCCCCCTCTTCCTGAACATGAGGGAAGGGAGCGGGAGTGGGACCTGGGGAGGACATCCACGGGCTCCGGGGCACGCCTGGAGAACCCAGACATCCCCCCCACGTCTCCTGGCCTGCAGGCAACTCACAGGAAGTCACGTACCATCCAACTCAGACAGTGTGCTCCTCCTTGGGGCCCTCGAAAGCTGACCGTGGCCCATCCTACCCAACGAAAGCAATCGTCGCCTTGGTGGGGTGGGCGAGGACTATTTCAGTTGACACTGCTGTTTTAGAACTGCCACTGGCGAGTTTCTCGTGTACTTATGTTGTGCTGTCTTCTTTTTTCTTTTTTTTTTCCCTTCTAATCTGCTCTTGCCCTGAAGCTACTCCATTCGCCATTCCATAAGTATGCCTGCTATGAGGTAATGTGTACAAATTACTTTATCTAATATCAATGCAGAATGTGTATGACGTGTTACTTTGTTGATATTTACTTTGGGGGGTTCCCCCCCCCACCTCCCACCTGCAGTGTGAAAGGAAATGCAGTGACTGGAATGCCTTATTCTCTCTCCTGATGGCCTTTAGGAGAACAGGCTGACATTTCTGTCGCAGCAGGTATGATAGGCCTCAGCTTTTGACCACACACACTGGTTTAACTCCAGGGTCTCCTGTGACCAGAGACAAGCTACTTACCTGTCTCAATGTCCACTCTCTTACCTGTCATGTGACATCAAGTAACCTGTGTGAAGCACTTTCTTAGCCAGCACACCTGCAGACGCAGAAGTACGTGCCTTATCTCAGCAGAATTAAGCGCAAGCCTGGGAGAAAGGTTAAATGAAAGGAATCACAGACTCCCAGGATGACAGTCGTAGGAAGGATAGCGCCAGGATTTGTTAAGGTAGATGTTAGGGTGAGGTGTCTGTTAAGCATTGAGAATGTCGTTAAAATTACCAGCTGGATGAAAACTCCTGAGAAACACATTCCCCCCTCAGAGTTTGCATAGCTGAGTGAGGCCATCAGATCAAAGCACCCTAATAATAGTGATAGGATATGGAAGGATGAATGTCAGATGAGGGGGTCAGGAGATGCTGATGGTAGCCCAGCTGTGCCAAGAAGGAACTCTGCAGCCTTGGGAACGTCACCTCAGTGACATCAGTTTCATTATATTTAAAATAAGAGGCTAAAACCAGATTTATGCTCTTCCCATTGCTCCTGCCTTGGGCTGCTTGGGGGGACGCAGGGGGTAACTCATAGGCCTGCATCAAGCCTCCAAGGCCCTCCCGCACTTCAGTCCGACTTGTGCCCCTTTTCCCTGCTTTGTAGAATATAATTGTGCTGTGATGTGTTAGAGGAGGGGTTTGGGTTGCTCTAAATAGCCTGAGATCACTGCAGCCAAATTCTTTCTACGGTCATTTGTGGTTGTGTGTGATCTGATTAAATCTGAGTAAACAGCTTCTCCCTGTTCCCCAGCACACATTCTGGTGTAGTTTAATTCGAAGAATGTCTGTTTTATTATCCTGATGATGTTTCTTCCACCCTGAGGTTATATGGTGACTTTGGAAATTTAGCCACAGTATTTGATTCCCTAACTTGGTGGTAAATCAGGGAGCAAAGATTCAGGATTGCACCGCCCATCTTTGAATGACTGGCACCCCCTAGCATAAAAACACTCCAATTGAGTAGTGCAGCCTGCAGCTCTGAGCTTCTTTATTTGTGAGCTTTGAAGTCTGGGTGTCCAAAGAAGGGCTTGCAAAAAATTAACATGGTTTTGCTCTGTGAATCCATCTAGTGGCGTAGGAGTCAAATGTAGTCCTCATGATCTTGCCTGAAATTAACTTTAAAAAAAAAGCTTTTACTCAGCTAACAGAAGCCCATGAACCACTGGGCCGAACTGATCAGGGATAAGCAGGCATGTGAGCGGGCTTGCCCACATAAAACCTGCAGGGGAAGTAAAGGGCCAATACATATATATAACCTTGAGTCATTCAGGTGCAAATTCACTAATATTTCATCATGAAACAGGAATATTATGGAGGATCACTCATAGGAATTTGACTCACGCTTGCATTGTTGACAAGCTGTGATGTCATACGTGGGCTGTCTGAGCTCACCACTCATAGGAATCTGACTCACGCGTGCATTGTTAACAAGCTGTGATGTCATACGTGGGCCATCTGAGCTCACCGTTGTCAGTTCGTACAGAATAACGCAAATGCATTTCTGACCATCTGGAGTGTCAGAGTCTCTAGAGATCATCTCTAACAAAACCAAATTCAGTCAAAAAACATTACCTACCTTAGATCCTCTTGGTAGTGTTAGAACCGTGCTTCATTCCGCACCATACCAAGAAGCCCATATAGTAGAGCCAGTCTTCCTTGTAAAATTCCTCCAGGCCATTCCTCCTGTTTCATTTTGCCTGCACTCAAGAGAAAATAACAGGTGGCTTATCGAATATCATCACATTCAGTTGAATTATTTGACCTGAAAATGATGGCAGTCATGGTTGCTGAATGCTGATGAATGCTGATATGGATGCGAGATTCAAGATACAGTTTTAGTTCCTTCGTGGTTCCTGTTTCTTTTGTTGGACCCAAGGATTATCTATTTTAATGGTAATGATATCATTAAATCATGTCATGTGCCCAAATCCAGTATAGGAAACCAAAAAGCACCAGATGAAGCATCTAGTGCTTCAAGTAACAAGATGATGTACGTAGAGTATTTAACACAATGAATGAGTCACAGACAAAAATGTCAGTAGACTGCAAAGATTTTGTTTGGTAAGAGAACAAAACATATATCCTCTTTAGGAGGAAAAATAACATGTGCTCCTAACACCATTTTGATCAAGCATTAGACAAGTAATAGGTGTATTTCCACCTAAAATAATGAAAGTATTGACTTTCAGAAGCGCTGCTTCATGGAAATTGACAAAATGATTACTTTTTAAGGCATGGGAAAGAAAAATTTATGAACCTTTTTTTCCTTAGCTCTTTGGTCTCACATTTACTGAAATAAATAACTTTAAAATTCCAAGTGGGAAAACTCTAACATGACATTCTTCAGATAGACTTTCCATTGCTTACAAAATACAAAAACAAAACCACAAAACAAACGAGTTGGGAATGGAGTGATGTGATAGAAACAGTTAATTAGCAAATGACAAACGCAGCTATCATTCTTTTGACTCATTGGAAGTGATTTCCAGTGCACCTTGCAATTATTAACAGCTGTGTCATTAACAAAGGCTGTACTATTTATTTTATGACTATTTTACTTAGAAAATTTCCATGTCAGGTTATGGTTTGTGGATCTAACCTAGCAGAGATGAAAAATACACTTTAAAGTGTGGTTGGCGAACCGACAGCTGGCCCTGGTGCAGAGATGATGTTTACAAATAAGAGCAGAAAGCCAGGCAGCTCGGTTGCTAAGACAGCTGTGTCTCTGGAGCTGACCTCTCTTTTTTTGTTATTTTAGGAATTCTCCTACTTTCAAATCATTTGAGGAGAGGGTTGAGACAACTGTCACAAGCCTTAAGGTACAGATGAAGTGAATTTTGTGTCATGGGGTCTGTGAATCAGGACAGCTTAGTCATGGTGGTGGTTAGTTCGGAAGGCGGGGCCGCCAGCAATTGGTGCAGCCAGGAGGGCAGCCTTGCACAGAGTCCATCTGTTTCTTCACGTATACGTCTGTCGGTAAAACCAGTACTGGATGGTGTTGCTGGACCCTCACAGAATTGTTCACGTAAACCATCCAGGGTGATTACCTGTTGAGAATGAACTGGGATGTGTGTTCACATGTTCTCAGGTTAGAAAAACTCTCTTCGTGCTGTCCCCTGGAAAACATGGGGTATGTGAGAGAGGACTGTAGGGTAGGATCAAGGATATGGGAATTCTGAATTCAGAGTGTAGGTGAAGGGCCCGTAGCCGCTCACAGCCTCTCTGGTTTGCATGTGGGCTAGCAGAAAGCGAAGCCGGCTCCATGCATTCCAGCGCCCCCCTCCTCCCCTCAGCTGCCTGGGCCTGTTTACTCTGTGCACATACTGAGCACAGCACAGCACAGCATGACCATCGCCGAGGGAAAATAAAACTGAGTCACACCGTGCATTCTTTTGTAATAATGCATTTGATCCCCCAGGTTTAAACTGAAAATATGCCTCTTTGATGGGAGGTGCTAAAAAAATATTCATTGAATTTATTGTGTGAGTGTAGATATAGATGAGCTCATCTGCAGAAGAAGAAAGCCCAAATAAAACTAGTCTTAAAATGTATGGAACTTTCAAAACAGGGGAAAAAAATCCTTGAAACTACTAAGATAATGTTTTTGAAGGTATCACTTACACAGTGACTTAAATACATCTTGATGTTCTTATCCGTATTTTGTGGACAATCCATTTCTGTATTTCCCTGTCTGGGAAAATGAAAAGTGCAGATGATCTTTAACCAGATCAAAAGCAGGTGCACGCACACGCCGGGTCTCCAGCTGCTTCTGAATCCTCTGCGGTCATGTGCTGCTCATAAGTCTGTGAGGTTGTGAGGTATTCCTCACTAGAGGTCCTGTGTGCTCTTACTGATTTGGACTTGGAGAGTCTTTCCTCTTAGGGGAGGCTCTTTCACAGAGTCTCCTACTTTTCTACAGTATCAGGCCTGTGATTAGATGTTTAAGACCAGGAATGAGGTTCTTACTCAGCCCCTACAATGCCTTGCTTTCCTTTACCAGCAGTTTGTAGTTGTGCCGTTTCGCCAGCCTGCTGGTCAACACGACTAATTGAGGATTTAGGGACCAGTGGGAGGCACTGAATTGCCCCCGTGTCTAGGGAAAACTTTTGAGAAAAGGAGGGACATGCAGGGCCTCGAACACTTCTCCTGCTAGAAAATTAAGTTTCAAAGCTTGAGGGTTCAGAAAATCCTGCGAGTTAATTTCTCAACATTTGGTTCTCAGCCTTAGACAAAGGAAGATGGATTCTGTTGCTCGTTAGACCAGTTCTGACATAGGAGAAGTTGTACTTTTTAGCTTTTCTTTAGAAGAAGGAGATACGAAGAAGCAAAAGAAGAATAAAGAACAACCTATTTCCCTTTGCTTTTAGGAAGCGCTGGTAAGCTCACAGCTCACATGTAATTTAAGTGTTTGATCCACACTCTGAGCTTCTCTCACTTTTCTCACTTTGTTGGGATGGGAGGTATAGAGCCTGCCTCCTCCTTCAGGCATGCACTAAACTAACTCAGCTGAGCAGATTCTAGCTTGTGTCAAGACTTCCTTCAAGTGTCTGCATGATTGTCCCCGGGCTTAACAAGACTCACATCCCACCCACCTCCTGTGTCACAGTTGATGCCTACTTCCTCTTTTTCTGCCCACCCAGGCAATAGAGAATAAATAGCTAATAATTGTGCTTTGTGTAAAACTTCCCACTCATTCAGTAATTGCAAAGTTCTCATTTTTTTTCCTTCCAGACTAAATAATAGATGGTTAACCCTTCTTTCTATAGTTTATTTGCCGCATAGTTTTGTGTTCTAAATTTTCTCCAGAATTTCTATAAAGTTCTTCAGTTATGGGTCCTGAGGCCATTTCCAGCTGACACACACATCAGTGAGGATGAGTCAGTAAGGAAATGCCTCGCACCTACTGCTTTAAGCTTGATTTTTAAAACACTGCTCGCAAGGAATCATGTTCGTATTTGTGTTCCATTATAAATGATGTTCTCCGCGAAGGGAGGTCCGTTCTTGCCATCGTCTCACACGATCTGTCACACACCATGTGGCATTTCTACCCAATTGATTGTTTTTCCTTTATATCCAGTTCTGTGGATAGCTTGATGTTCCATGAAAAATTTTCCATTTCATCCTAATTACCTAAAATTTCATCCTTTTTTGCCTATATCCTTGGAATACATCACTGTCTTACCTGAAGGCATCTCAGCTGGCTTCACCTATACTATACCCCGTGAGCACACTTTCTATTTTATCTAAAACAAGCAACCACACTAAGAACCAGCTCCTGTCAAACCATATGTGTTATGTGCTACCATGTTCCAGGGAATCATCGATAACTACATCCTTTCCAACCATTCTGATCATTCAACCTTCCAGTCATTCTTCGAACCATGTCAAGCAGACCACATTTTAAGTGTGCCTCTTTTTGATGAATACTTTGCATGGCCTGATTTAAAACCTTAAGAAAAAGACAAGATACACTTAATTGTTCTTTGTGTCCTCTCTGCCAGCCATATTATTACGAGAGATTAGGGGGGCCAACTCAATAATTCAAATCGCGTGTTATGTAAACCACAATCATAGTTTTGGGGATAAAGTGACAAATGCTTGGATGAAGAGTCATTATGAAGGGAAGGGTCCAGAAGAGGTTTATTGTTCACATCTTTCCTGAAGCAACTCCTCACCTAAAGTATTGCTGTGTACAGTCATTCAACCCACATGGTTAGGGAACCAGGAAACCTCTTTATTCCACTCAACCCACTTGGCTAGAAAGCCCCTTTATTGCACTCACCTTTAAATTGCTTTATTTTAAAACAATTCCCTCCTTTATTCTTCCATTTTGATTTGAGAAAAATCAAGAACTGGGAGAAGAGAAAGCAACAAAGCCCAAAAGAAAACAACAGTAATTGGAATTCATTTGATTCCAAACTGTGTGTGGCTTCTGTTGCAAAACAGAATGCAATATAATAAAGAGAAGAATGGGGACTCTTAGTAGATTACATTGAATTAATCTTGTTTCTCTCTGGAAAGAAAGAAATATAGTGAAAAATCACAGAGTTGAAAGGAACCCCTGCTTCTTCCTGGGGCTGAGATGACACAGAGTGGAGGAGGAATCAATGCTCAGTGGCAGAGGTCTGCAAATTAAGGCCTGTGGGCCAAATCCAGCTGGTTGCCTACTTTTGAATGGCATATAAGCTAAGAATGATTTTTATATTTTTTTAATGGTTGAAAAAAAATCAAAGGAAGAATGCTATTTTGTGACGTGTTAAGTTAAAATTAAATTACATGAAATTCACATTTCTGTGTCCATACATACGGTCTTCTGGGAACACAGCCATGCTCATTGACTTGTGTGTTGTTTTTGGCTGCTGTGTACAATGGTTGATTTGAGTATTTGTGACAAAGACTGTGATTCCTAAGCTGAAAATATATATTATCTGTCACTTTCCAGAATGAGTTTTCTGACCCTAAGCAGAGTGGAAAATTCGACTTTAAGAACTGAATTTAAAGAGGCAGAGAGGGATTTTAGTGACAATCAGAGTAAAGTGTGTGCTTGTTTTTAATAAGACTTGCAGGAAGCATTAAATATTCTTTCGAAGGACTTTTTAGTAAGGAATTTTTCAAAACATTTTAACCGTATTCTTATAAATTGATTTCTTACTGATTCTAATCCTTATTACCAACGACAAGTGCACAAAAAGCGAGCCTCCTAAAGCATCATAACTTTGTATTTCAAGGCATATCCCTCCTTTAAGGGCAACTGCCTAGAAAGATCTCAACAGAGACCAGAAACTCTGTTCAATTGAGCCGCTCAGCCTTTTTTGAAAGACATTTGTCAGGAATCCAGATAGCCTTTCTAAGTCCCAGCAGAAATCCCAAATTGCAGTCGCTTAAGATGTCTACACCCTTTAAGCCGAGGGAATTTGTCGAAAATCCAGTTCTGTTTCAATTACATCTGTTCTCAGGGTCATGTGTCGACAGTGCAAATCCACAGATCTGGACACACTCACGGAGGGATCGAGATTTTTAGATGTAGGAGGCGTAAAGGGAGCCCGCCAAAATTGCACAGAATCGAAGTTTTGGATCCTACCCCAGATGCCAAACACGAATGGCATTCTAGCACCCTGCCTAAAGGAAACTAACTTCTCGACACCCTTTAGGTTCCCTTTCAAGAAAAGCAAAACTATCTCTGAACCTGAGAGCAGTGCGTCTTGCACCAGCACATCGGGGACCTGGGGAACTAATTGCACGTTTGCATCTCTGCCCTTTCAGACGAAAGTAGGCGGCGCGACCCCCGGCGGAGGCAGCTTCGAAGAGGTGCTCAGCTCCACGGCGCAGGCCAGCGCGCAGAGCTCGGGGGGCGGGCCGCGGCGGGCCGAGGAGGAGGAGCTGCAGTGCTAGGACCGCCCCCTGCGGCCCGGCCCCGCCCCCTGTGGTCCTGGCCCCGCCTCCTTGGCCCGGCCCCGCCCCCTGTGGTCCTGGCCCCGCCTACTGCGGCCCCAGCCCCGCCCCCACCCCGGGAAAAACCCAGGCCTTGACCTCGTTCTTCCAATGGCCTCTCCGCGGAGTTTAATAAAAGCATTTCCACTTTGAATTTGTGTTAATGATGGACCACGTGACCGTCACATGCAGCATCCGTAGACTGATGTCAGCATGTCCCCACCTGGGCAGGTACACAATGGGTCGGAGCCCTTGTCTGTGTGTCATTCAGCCTCCTACTTTCCTGACCGTAGCTATGAATGATCGGCTTCGGTGTTTGCTCGGCCCCCTCCAGGACGTGCTTGCCTTTGAAGGCCGAGCCTGGAAGCCCCCTTCCAGGCCAGTCAGTGGGCGGGATGGTGGTTTTTGTGACCCTCTTCCAGCACCGGGATGGGCTCGCTGCAAAGGCCCTCAGACTGCCTGTGGTCACCCTCACTTGCACCAGTGATGTGTGTTTGTTTGAGCAATTAAAGTAATCGGTTTTAACGAAGATTTTGAATTCTTCATTTCTGCGTGTCTTCAGGGCTGGTAATGACTTTAAAAGGTGGTAGCTATGAGTCTGCAGATGCTATTTTATGTTTTTAAAAGATTTTTATTTGAGAGAGCACGAGCGGGGAAGGGGAGGGTGCAGAGGGAGAGGGAGAAGCTGACCCCCTTGCTGAACAGGGAGCTCCCGCCCTAATGCAATGCTTTTTTTTTTTTTCCTTTTTAAGATTTTATTTATTATTTATTCATGAGAGACATAGAGAGACACCCAGACATAGGCAAAGGGAGAAGCAGGCTTCCTGGAGGGAACCTGATTTGGAACTCTGTCCCAGGACCCCGGGACCATGACCTGAGCCAAAGGCAGATCCCATCCCAGATCCCACTGGATCTCAACCACTGAGCCACCCAGATGCCCCTGCAATAATGCTATTTTAAATCAAGGTCTACTGCTAACTTGGTGAACATAAGAGGATGCATAAGTAACTATAACCTCAGCGACCCTACCAATTCTAAAATTCTAATTTAGGTAGAGTAGTAAACTCAGGGAAGGGAGATCTGAAAGGGGGTGGCCAGAAAATGGGAGAAACAGAATTCTGCATCCCCTTTCATTTTGCAAATTGTTCACATAAATAAAAAAGGCATCCTATTAGTACGATCAGATTTCTGTAGAAATTTTTACCTTCTACATCATATGCTTCTCTTTTCTTCTAAATGGGACCGTACATTTGTTACCAGGTAGTAGACACACATCCTATAGATGCAATTTTTCAATGAACACAGAATTGATCTACTAACATAAAGCACGATTTAATATATATGTTATATATATATAATATAATATATAATATATATATGTTATATATATATGTTACCCATGGAATATATATTAGTATTTATTCATTTTTTAAATTTGCTGTTAGAAATGGATAGGTAGTGAGTGATACAGTGAAATAAACCCAGTCTAAGAAATTCCATTCAAATTAATGGAGCAGACAATCTACACATCTAACTTAAAATCTAATTAGTTCAAAGCCACATAATCTCTGAGGCTAAGATTTTAACAGAGATAGGTATGTGTCTATAATCTTGAACCAGGGTGGACAGTGAAGCCCTGCCAGTAGGATCATTGGCATTCTCCCTAATTTAACCTTCCATCATGTTGGTGGAAGCCAGACCCTGTCATGCTGGCTTGTGACTTGCTCTCCCACTGCTGCAAGTTGGTGTCAGTATCTCTGTGCTCAATCTGAGGTTGCCTGGCATGCTGGAAATGGTCACCTTTTATGAACTCACTTCCCGATCGCGTCCTTTGTGACTCCACTCAGCACACCTCGCCATATAAAAAAAGCAGAGTCACGGTGCTGTGAACAAGTATCTACATCCACCAACTGATTTCTGCCCAGATAAGTGTCAGCCTTACCATCTGAAAACATAGTATTAACAGTGGATAGAAAAGCAGTCAAGATAATTAGTGCTAATGCCTGAAAGCTTCAAATACATTTTGGCCTCTTTATCTTAAACCATTCTTCAAAAGTTTGAATTTCATCAGTTTTATAAAAACGATACTCATGTCAGCTCTCTTAACCAAAAGGGTTTCATTGATGATTATACCCTCTGATCCGGGAGTGAGATAAAGGACCATGACATGAGTGATCTTTCATCCGACTACATGGAGAAGTCACATTCCTGCAGTTGCTGGTAGGTGTGTAGTCTTGGCGTAGACATTTCCTTTCCTCTGTGCCCGGTCACTCAACAGCTGCCAGTTTCTCCCCTGCTTGGCCTGTGTGCAAGCTCATCCTGATTTGACTGTCCCTAGAGTCTCCCTGTTATGTCCAGCTGGGCTCAGTTCACATGCAGTTTTAAAGTGTTTCCCCAAGTGCTAGAAGGTATTTGCATGCCACAGGCATAACCATTTACTGAAAAATCAAAATGACATCAGGTCAATACCACGTACCCAAAATTATTTCACACACACCCCCCCCAGATCTCAATACCCTAGAATTCCAGTGTGAATTGTGATTACAAAATGAGCTGGCTTAAAACAAACAACTAAGATCTGTAATGTAACCATTTGCTGCTTTTTAAACACCACTGTTTGACAGAAAACACTCGTAAATTTACGCTACAACTTTATCTTACAACTCACATCTCCCGAAGACTATGTCTATTGGTAGGTCATGTCAGCAAAGCAATCTGCCCCTTACTCTGAATTACACATTTTCTTTTTAAATATTTTATTAATTTATTCATGAGAGACAGAGAGAGAGAGAGAGAGAGAGAGAGAGGCAGAGACACAGGCAGAGGGAGAAGCAGGCTCCATGCAGGGAGCTGGATGTGGGACTCGATCCCAGGACCACTCGATCATGACCTGAGCCGAAGGCAGACGCTCAGCCGCGGAGCCACCCAGGCATCACAGAATTACACATTTTCTTATAAAGCTGTTCTTGAACCATGGAAAACAAAACTGCATGCTTTATTACAGAACGTCTCCATAGACCATGCCATTCAGTGGTCAATGTGAAGAAAACACTGGAAGTCTAAGCTGCTGCTCTGTCACTGTTCACTGTTCCAAAGTTACCTTGTTGGCCTGAAACCAACCTCACTGCGAAACAGTGCGTAAGGTGGTCGTGAACTTCAGCCACGACAGTCCTCCCTCTCACTTACCAAATGGAGTGTGGGTGGGTGCGTGAAAGGATGGCCTTAGGGTGAAAAAGTGATTTCAACATGAAATGTAAAAAAATGGCTCCGACCCTGGTGTTCAGATACAATTTCAAACAATAATATTTAGCAAAAGCTTATGGTTACTTTTGATAACCTCTAAAGAATGGTAAAATTCTTTATTTTTCACATCTGACTTTTAGTTCGTACCATGAAGAGTATGTGTCAAGATAATCCAAAAATAAGATGATCATAAGTCTCCCACAGGATTCATCCCAAGCTCACTTTGAGTATGAAGACTGGCAAATTACTTATATAAAACTGCTGGTAGGGAGGATGCTTTTCCACGAGGCACGTCGTCAGTCATCTATCCCAGAGCACTTAGCCCCACCAGACTGGGATGAACAGGTTGGACATTCTGTGAGAATCGACATTTTTCAAACGCAAGGGCATTGAGAATTGTGTTAACAGCTGATGAAATGCCAGACCCCGAGGGAGAAACAAGGAACTGTTTGAAAAAGAACACCCGCACCCCAATCCCAGCCAGCCCTGGGGCCAGACGGGGGGGGGGTGCCAGCCTGGGCTGTGCCCCCCTCCATCCATCCTTCCCTGCAGCCCGGCCTTTCCACCCTCTCCTTTTGAGTAGGGGATGGTCTCTCTCCCTCATTGCAAGGAGGTAAATTCTTTTTTGTGGAGTTCAATCCAGTAATATTTTTTTTGCACCACATCATAATTATAGGGTTTGTTATTCAGAAGCTCCATTCCAGGCAAGTAACAGGTATCTTCCAAGAGAAAAACAAAAAATTTTTAAGTGATAATGCGGAAATATTTGTGGACCTGGCTGGTGAATTCAATGGCTGTCTTTTTCTATTGATCGTCATTATGTTCTTTATTAAATGGTATTTACAGCACCATTACATTTTCTTTCTTTTGAAACCTATTACCCCAGTAAGGAAGGTTTAGATTTTTTTTTTTATGATTTTATTTATTTATTCATGAGAGACACAGAGAGAGAGAAAGGCAGAGACACAGGCAGGAGAAGCAGGCTCCCTGCGGGGAGCCTGACACGGGACTCGATCCTGGGACCCGGGGATCACACCCTGGGCCGAAGGCAGACGCTCAACCGCTGAGCCAACCAGGCGTCCTGGAAGGTTTAGAATTAACTCTGACCTTGGTAGGTAGATGGAAAGCTGAGATAATGACCAGTAGATGACCAGTAGTATTAAGTCTGACCCAGTAGAGGCTTCTTAATCTACGGATTCATGAAAATTACAGCGGCCAAAACATCCCAAGCAAAACTCTAGGGCCACAGGAAATCTGGTTATAAATATTTGAACTTTTATCTGTGATTATCTTAGGTATATTTTCATGCCAGGAGGGAAAAAAAAAAAACCCTGCAAAATTCTGATGGATGCAATGGTATTTTGAAGCAAAGCAGCACTGCTCATTTCAACACAGAGCAGCTATACGTACACGTGTGTTGCTTCTGAAGAGATCATGCACTTTGCTTCCTGCAGATTGGGTCTCCATGGATACTGTGAAGAGTTTCCAAAGAAACGCTGCCTAGAATATTCCCACCATGCCAAGCTAGCAGGTCTTCACATGGAGATTGACATTCGAATTAAAGGGACCGGACTGATGGCTTCCCACCAAAATACCGGGCAGGTTTGCCTGGATAGTGTTCTTCTCACCACCACTGAGTGGTTGTGCATCGTTGAAAGGCAAGCAGGGCAGGTTACTTACCCGATGAAAGGAAACGAAGGGGAGAAACTAGGTCTGATGTGGTCCCCACATAAGGTGCGGTGACCCCAGTAATACTCTTCTTCCGATTACAGATTTCTTACCTGGTGATCGATGTTCTTACAAATCGAGATCTGAGAATTTACAAATCGGGGAAAAAATGCACAGAGAAGACAAGAAAAATATACAGAGAAAGACACTGTATACCTGAATTTATATCCCCAAATGGAGAAAAGGATTAGGGGCAGAGGCAAGTTACCTGCTACCAGGTTTACAAATCTCTGATCAGGGGCCTGAAGCAGGTCACAGCGAAAAGAACAATGTGGCTCCGCGGATGATGCGTTCCTTTCCTCAGCACTGTGTCAACTCAAGAACCTGTTCTTAAAAGGAATCATAATTTTCCGTCATTCCATGAATCTGGCCTTCGGGGTGGTAGGTTATAACTTTAGAATAAAACGATTTAAAATCTCCAATGAATAGTCCAAAGTTTAAGGTTTTAAAGATGTATTTATTTAGTCCATAAACAGCTCCCCCACTGCCCCCCAGTCTTCATCCAGGGAATTTTCCAGGACCACATCCTGCTCGCAGCTTCTTTTATCATCCAGACTGTATCGTGTTTCTTGCTGGAGTCCAGGCAATGGAAAACAAACGGACTCACGTCTGCGGGGAATCAAAGCAAAAGCAGCAAAACACAACACGTGAGAGGGAAAAACACGACACCCGTCGCAGGAGGGCTGCAGCAGGGAGCACACGTCAGGAGCTTGGCTCACGGGCGGCAGCAGCTATGCTGGCGTTTCTTTCTGCCTCGAGTTCAGAAACCAGCTGGACTATCTCGGGGTGACTGAACTTTCCTGCAAGGCAAGAAGACAGGGAACGAGGTGTTGACACGGAAATCCATCCGTGCATCCAGCTCGATCCCAGGCTTGGCTCCACCCCGTGACTCAGTCCAACCATTCCAGGTCCCGGCGAGGGGCTCACTCGGAGCTGATGACCCCAGAGGCCACGGGGCACTGGGGATGAGAGCCCGACAAAGGAGTGGCCCATGAGGCAGAGCGAGGGGAAGCCTCCCCGGTCAGCCTGAGTGCTCCCAGTGGGGGCCAGACACTCACGGAGGACAGCAGCCAGAGCACCGAACGCAGCCCCTGCCGCACCTGTGGTCAGGAGGGACAAGGCACCTACATATAAAAAGACTAGCGGGAAGACAGACGGCCTAGGCCATGCCCGGATGCAAACGTGCCTCATGCAGACACTTGTACACGACAGCCCACGGATCCGGGCTGTCCCCGCCACTCAGTGCTCCCAGACTTCTGCCCCAGGCAGCCACCAACCTACGAGCCACCTTGGGTTGAAAGTAGCTGGCCCAGGGGAATACCAAACTCACCATCTCTCCCCTGGTTTGGATTTGGTTTGGGCTTTTTTGCCAGTGCCTTTGTTTAACTCTGTTCAGTTACTCCCTATGTTCGGCCTCCTCTGAACGTTCCCTTCACTTGTTTGTCCTGAGGTCTGGCTCATCCTGAGGACACGGCTCTCCCCGCAGCCTTGTCACACAGTGGCTCTTGTCCCTAGGCCTGGGTCTGCCCTCCGAGCTCCCCGCTGCCTCCAGGCTGCCCTCTGCCCCGTTCTGGAAAGGTCAAGCTATCACGACTATTCCCACGGTCCTACCAAAGTGGCTCCCATCAAGGACGCAGACTTAGCTCCATGCGGCTGAATCTGTGGACACCTAACTCCCTAACTCCCCCCATCCTCCCCATCTTCCCCATCTAGTGGCAATTCCACTCTTTTACAGGTGCTCCGACCAAAATCCTCGGACGTCTCTCATAAACACCCCCCCACAATCCTGTCCACCTTCATCCTCAAGATATATCCAGAATCTGACCAGTCCTTCCTTTCTCTACCACTACCATCCTGGCTCAAAGCACTATCATTTCTCACTAGGATACGCCAATGGCCCCCAGCTGGTCTCCCTGCTTCCAGCCCATGTGACCCTTCCAAGACACAAGTCAGATCACACTGGCCCTGTGGTCCACCTTCTCCAGGGGCTCCCCATCTCGCCCAGAGCACAGGCCAACCTCCTGAGCTGGCCGCCGGGCCTCAGCCCACTTCTCCGTGACCCTCTCTTCTCCTCTACCCTCACCAGCCACACTGGCCTCCATGCTGTTCCTCCACACAACAGTTTCAAAAAGAAAAAGAAAAAGAAAAAGAAAAAAGCCTTAAGTGGTGATTGAATTAGAAAAATAAAAATGTGTTATCAAACTAAAGCCTTTAAGTCCCCTTCAAAATCCTCAGAAGCCTGGCACCTGGCTCGGTTGGTAGAGCGTGCAATTCTGGATCTTGGGGTCGTGAGTTCGAGCCCCACACTGGGGTACTGTCTACTTAAAAAAATAAATCTTCGAGGGTCACAGTGTACATCTTCCTCTCTCCCGAACGAAGCTTGTTTTTTATTCAAGCGTTATTGGGATGACTAAGAAACCACTCCTTACACCAGCTGCATTACACGCAATTATTAATTTCCTAATAGAGGCGTGCACCACCGTGGAAAGTAAAGTGAATTTTCATCTCAACTCAGCGGCGGGCACATCACCTTCTTTCTCAGCTCGTTTCTTCCTCGATAAGATGTGGAGTTTGAACCAGAGGACCCCTCAGGCTCCCACATTTTTTTGATTCTTCTAGTAGTTTCACGTTTTATTTTTTTCTTTTTCATTGTGAGTGTGCCAAAGTGGAAGATGACAGTGTCAAAACGCAAAGCACCACGCAAACATGACTGGTACTTTAGTTACGTTATTGGTGACGTATGCTATCTTGGAACCCAGCCGGTGCCTACGATGGGTTGGCAAACCTTTTCTGCAGAGAGTGAGACAGTAAATACTTCAGGCTCTGTGACCTATGTGGTCTGTGTTGCCAACTACTCAGTTCTACTCGATTCTGTTGCTGTGGTTTAAAAGCAGTAGAGACAACACACAGAGAATGAGTGTGGCTCTTTCAATAAAACTTTACCTACACAAACAAGCAGCAGCCCAGCCTGGCCCATGAGCCATAGTCTGCTGCTCCCTTGTTCACAATGCTCTTCTATTTAACTGAGGTCAAATACTCCTGAGCACCACCTGTATCAAAGACAGAAGAGACTAACCTGGTCTTGGCCCCCAAACAGCTTACTCTGGGGTAGGGTGAGCTATTGGGGGTTTTGGGAAGGGCCCCAACAAGGAACACTGCTATGGAGAAGGCAAGTCAGACTGTCATGACCCTACGGCAAGTTCTAGACCAAACGCAGATTGAGCAAGTAGAAGGGAACGCCTGCCTAATTTCGACAGGGAGGATTAGAAAAGGAGACCGGAGAAGCGAGTGGCCGCAGACTGCAGAGCCTTTTGGCCACTCCAAAGTGTCAAGGTCTTACTTTTTAGGAAGGGGAAAGCCACAGAAGTTTAACAGATGGAGGTGTGATAAGACCTGTGTCTGCAGACATGCGGGACAGACACGGACGGTGAGCCTGGCTGGCTGAGTTAGGAGGTGACAACCACCATCCAATGCAGGAGTGACCGGGGCCTTATCTGAGGCAGAGGCAGGGGGCTGGAGAAGAGGGAAGGGAAATCGAATCAACCTCCCAACCAGGCGCATAGTATTCTGAAGCACAGTCTGAGCCAGGGGCCCTGCCAGATCCGGAGAGGTCCCAGACGGGCGCCCTTGGGCCATGCTCTCTGGGGACCTGGGGCCCGGGAGACACGGAGCTGTGCTCAGGGAGCAGCCCGCGCCTCTGCAGTGCGCTCAGCCTCTCTGGAGGCTCTCTGGAGGCTGTCTGGAGGCTGTCTCAGAAGGGAGACAGCGAAGGCCCACCGCCCGGTATTATTCCAGCCACGTCACAGGAGCCAACCCCCTGGATCTTCAAATGCCCCCATAAAGTAGATTCTGTAGTTATTCTTATTTTTGTTTTCATTTTATTTTTAAATAAAGATTGTATTTATTTATTCATGAGAGACACAGAGAGAGAGAGAGACAGAGACACAGGCAGAGGGAGACGCAGGCTCCATGAGGGGAGCCCAATGCGGGACTCGATCCTGGGATTCCAGGATCACGCCCTGGGCCGAAGGCGGCGCTAAACTGCTGAGCCACCCAGGCTGCCTGTTATCCTTATTTTTAAAAGATTTTTTGAATTTAACGTAATCTCTATACCCAACATGGGGCTCAAACTTACGACCCTGAGATCAAGAGTTGCATGCTCTACCGACGGAGCCAGCGGGCGCCCCCTAGAATTAGCCTTATTTTGAAAAAACAGGAACTAAGGCCCAGAGCAAGGTCAAGTCATTAGCTGGAGGTTACGTGGGTTGTATGTGGCAGAACCAGAACCAGCTGGGCTCCAGGGCCTGCTAGGGAGCACCATAAAGACAATGGTGGCCTCGACGGTGTGGGGTTCTCTACTTTTACATCTTTTTCTACCTCCGTCTTACATCACTTGGCTTCTGTAAAGCACTTCCATCTACATTCTCTCTGTCTCTGTCTCTCTCTCTCTCATCTCAAAATCCACCTATGACTCAAGTAGGGTAAGCCTTATGGTTTCTGTTTTCCAGAGAGGCCAGGAGGCCACCCGAGGGCACACAGGCAGGTGTCGATGTGAACCTGGCTCGCTGCTCAGGCCCCAGGGTGGCGACGCTCTCACCACCAGGCACCAGGCTGCCTCCCACCAAGAAGCCCACCATCTCCCTCTTAGGTGCTCCATGGGAAAGTGTCATTGGACGGCACCAACAGCGGATCTCACGAAGGCGACATCAGCCACCGTGCTAGGGGTCAGCCCAGCTACGATGGTGTTTACTGAAAATAGCACAGAGTACCTGCCGTGGAATCAAAGAAGTCCTGCAGCCTCCCAGGTTTGTTCTCGGCGTCTTCATACTCAGATGCTTGCAGGATCATCTCACATTGGTCCAGCTGCTTCACGAATTTAGCTTCTGCGCTAGATTGGGTCTCATACTCCTGAGTAAAGGTACAATGAGAGCAACATGATGAGAGCGGCAGGGCAGGCATTCCAGAAGATTCTTATTCTGGTCCTGAAGTCAGAGTCACAGCTAAGGGCACATTTTGTACTGGCCAGCCCTCCCGACCACACGCAAACCCTCCAGAGATATGCTCGTCTGTGCCTCCCCCCTTACTATCAGCACCCCGCTCAAGGATGAACTCCTGATTCCATAGAGTCCTCCAGATGCCTGGAAAGTCTCATCTGTTCACAGCAACACTCCCAGCATTTTTCTTCCCATCTGGTACTTTGTCTTCCTTGCAGGATCATTATTACTCCTTCCACCTGAGTTGTGGAGGTCTTTTTAACTTCAAGTTACTATTTCATCTCCTGCTTCTCCAATGATTTCCCTCCCAGTTCAGAAGGGTCAGGCTTCCTTTTCCTTTTTAAGTGAATGTCTAGCCTTCTCATTGAATTTGGGCTGCCCCTTTACACTGGAAATCTCTGTCCTTTCTTTCCAAACAGAGAAGATTTCACCAAGTCCCCCTGGGTCGTGATTCTGGAGGACATGGCCAGGATCTATGGGTTCTACGTGCAATGGCCTGTGTGCATGCACGTGTTGGTGACAGGGAGGTGGTGAAGGCCGTGGATGGGGAGCAGCTTTTTTACCTTTCCTCTTGCTTTTGGTCCCTCTCCCCTCAGTGCAAGCCTGAAACAAAAATCTACAGGAGGGCTGCTTCTTAGAGCGTGACACATGTCACATAACCGCAAGTCCCAATTAATACTATATAGAATCGTTTTTCTATTAAGACCAAAGTGTTCCCAACTGGCTTCCCTGCAAAGCTCTCATTTGTAATTCCACCCCAGATGTGTTTGGATAATGAACCTGTCATGCTTTCTTGGCAGGGGGATGTGATGTGAATCACTTAAGGTTTCTCGGTTTTTATTAGATGCCTTATTCTTATAAAGGCAGCTATTTGGATTTTGATAGAGCTGAAAATTGTACAGGGAAATCATTTCAATATGAAACCAAATACATTTTATTTCATTTCAAAGGCACTTAAAAATAATTGCTTTTATTTAAATGCTTATTCACATTTATAATTATATATTTATATTTAATAAATTCAAGTCCATTGCTCAGCAAAGAAGTGGAATATACTCTATGCATAGCAGCCCAGGATTTTTCTCTATTGAAAGTGAGAAAAAAAAGATTTCAAGACCATTAGGAAATGACCACACACTGTATAACAAATTCCAGTGAAATTACATGTTTCTTTTAAAAATATAAATTGTTGGGTTTTTCCTCAAAAAATAATGGTACAGGCATCTCCCAATTTCATTTTCCACCAGTGAGGCAGCACCAGGAAAACAGTGCGGCCAATAGAGTTCTAGAAGTAAGATGACCCCACGGATCTTTGGGGAACGTACTGCAAGTGGTTTCTCATGACAGGATGCAGAAGCAATGGCAGGAGCAAGAGGAGAGAGAAGAGGCTGAAGGGGGGAGGACGAGCCTTGCAGTTTGTGATCAAGGGTTTCAGCTCCTCCTGCAGCTACTGGACATCACTGAAAGGTTTCAGGCCAGAAGGGTCATGATCAGATTTGTACTGGGGAAAGATCATTCTACCTTCAGAGTGGAAAAGAGTAGACTGGAAGGAGAGAAATCAGGCTCTGAGACTGTAGCACCAGCAGAGAAGCCAGGAGAATCTGGGCCTCATCTCGTGGCAACGAAGATGTGACAAGTGGGAGGATCTAAGAACCACTAAGGAGGAAGAAGTGAACCAAAATGTGAACGGGAACAAAAGAAAGAGCTGAAAATGACATTCTTGTTTCTGGCATGCATAACTCAAGAGGGAGCAGAGGGGGGAAAGGGACCTCCAAAACTGACCGAGCAAAGAGACAATAAAACCAAAACCTAATGAACAGCATTTATAACAAAACTATGTAACATAGCGTTACCATGCATCGCCTCCAGCCCCAAGCCCTGGCTTCAATCAGCAGGAGCAACAGGGCATCTGATGGATTCGAGACTAGGAGAACCCCCCAACAGCCAGCAGGGGTGCTGCACTAGCTGCTGGTACAAGCCCAGCCCTGGTGGGTGCACCAGCCTGACCTGCTCTGCTGGGGCTCCCCCTGCCGGGACAGGGGCCCCCAGGAAGAGAAACTGCTGGAGGTGGAACCAAAATTGAGTAGGGTTGGGGATCCCTGGGTGGCGCAGCGGTTTGGCGCCTGCCTTTGGCCCAGGATGGGATCCTGGAGGCCCGGGATCGAGTCCCACGTCGGGCTCCCTGCATGGAGCCTGCTTCTCTCTCTGCCTGTGTCTCTGCCTCTCTCTCTCTATCTCTCTATCATGAATAAATAAAATATTAAAAAAAAAAAAACAAAATTGAGTAGGGTGAAGGTAACAAGAAGAAAAGAAAAAGTCCAGATAGAAGTGAGGAAAGAGGGGCACCTGGGTGGCTCAGTGGCCTTCAGCTCAGGGTGTGATCCCTGGGTCCTGGAATTGAGCCCTATATCGGGTTCCCCACAGAGAGCCTGCTTCTCCCTCTGTCTCTCTCTTGGTGTCTCTCATGAATAAATAAAATAAAATCTTTACCTCCCCCCCAAAAAAAGTGCAGAAAGAAGACAAAACCAGGGAAATCTCTGAAAGCAAGCCACCATACAATTTAACACCACATTTAAAAACAAAACAGATGAGGAAGCTCTGTGAAATTCAAAAAAGTTATCTGGGGGCGCCTGGGTGGCTCAGTTGGTTAAACATCTGACTCTTGGTTTCAGCTTAGGTCATGATCTCAGGGTGGTGTGATTGCGCCCTACGTTGGGTTCCACACTCAGTGCAGAATCAGCTTGAGATACTCTCTCCTCCTCCCCTCTCAAATAAATCTAAAAAAAAAAAAAAAGTTATCTGAACCAAGTTTTGTTCCAAAAGTTCAGGAATACTGATTAGGTATCAGAATGAGCAACAAAAAAAGATCAGAGGTCAGATCTCATACAAGCCTACCAGAAGATAAAGAGAATGAGGAACAAAATGACATCTCTACAGGTGATTCACATCAGAAAGACATTCTTAATTTTTTTAAAGGACCAAATCTGTAAGAAAACTACTTCAAAAAGAACTATAAGATGCTAAGCAAATGGGAAGACATGAAAGAACCATATAAAAAACATCAGAGATAAAAGACAAAGTCATTTTCACAGTGAAGGCTAAGCAAATACACAGGGACTTTTAAATATGATAAATAGTAGCTTAAGAGAAATGGAAATTGAAAAGGAAGTTAGGTTTAAAAGTTTAAAAGTCAAAAAGAAAAGATAATTTAAAGGATCCGAGGGAAGGTGACAAATATTCAAAAAGGCAAAGGAGAACCAACACACAGAGATGTTGGAGTTTTGGAGGAAAAAAAAAAAAAAGAAACCAAAGTGAAAGAAAAACTATATTCAAAAACATTTTCTTGAAATTAAAATTTTTTTTATATATATTGAAAACACACACCAAGTAGCTAAGGATACTAACCCAGAAGGACCAACACCAAGACACATTCTAATAAAATCATATCTATGAAAAAAGTCCTTTGGACACCTATGCAGAGAGAACATCTGACATGTAAGGGAAATAAAATTATCATCAGACTTTGACGATAACGCTTTGTGACCAAAGAGAATGGGAGTAATGTACTGACCTTGCAGTGTAGAGAACAGAGACAAGACTTAGAGCATATTGTTCCTGTGAGCCCTTCTTGAAGAATTTATAAGAGGACAAGTTTCAGCCAGACCAAACGATCAGGAAACCTGCCATAAGGACTGGGAGTGAGCATCAAAGGTGCTTGCAGAACTAAGACTCAACGAGGTATAACAAACAGTATATAATAGTTCAATGTCCTGACAATCTGAAGTACAATCTAGATAGAGTACAACTATAAAAAAATACAGGAAGAAAACAGGATAGGAAAAACAATTTTTTAAAAGATTTATTTCTTTAAGAGAGAGAGTGTGGCAGAGAGAGAGAGCACGAGCAGGGAGGAGGAGGAGAAGCAGATCCCTCCCACCCTGCGCAGGGAGCCTGATGCAGTGATGCGGTATTCGATCCCAGGACCCTAAGCTGAAGGCAGACGCTTCACCGGCTGAGCCACCCAGACAAAACAATTTTTTAGGCTGTTTTCAGTACCTGGAATTGATGATGGTGGCATATTCACAATTGTTATCCTGAGACAGGTACGTGTATAGAGAAGGACCAAGCCTACACAGTCAGGATTCCTTGAGAGGAAGAAAGGACAATATAGAAGAGGGTAAGACACACCATAAAGGAGGTTAATAAGTAAACCCCGTGCAGTACTGTATTCGAATTGGAAATGTCACCATGAACCCACGAGGCGTACACACAGATACCCTAGCTATCCCAGCTCTGTCCAGTAAAAAGCATAAAGACCATACCCAACTCAGTAGCAGCAAGGCCCCCGGGCGCACACCGTGGTCTTGAAGTAGCGCCGCCTACTGACACAAGGAGGCCAACCTGGACGTCTGGCCGAAGTGTGTTGGAGATGAACGAGGCTGGACTTATCCTGTCATTCCCACCATCGAGGAAGCAATGACCAAAGTCAAGCATGATTCCCTCATCTTTCCGATAGGAGCTGCAACCAAAGACTAGATGACCAAGAGGCCTCTGCTAATACAATTACTTCAGCTACTAAATGAAAACAAGATAAACACACGGGTATTTTACAATTGTGCAGCCCGAAAGGATGAAGGGACGTTAAGCATCGAGAAACCCCAGCCATTCTGTGGCTCGTGATGAAAGAATCCAACAGCATCTACAGTTTTGCCAGAAAAATCCAACATGAGTCTGATCCAGCCTCTGGATCCAAGTGCGCCAATCTGCAGAAAGTAGAACACAGGGACATGCCCTGCATCGTGAGTGTGCAACTGGCAAAACCCAGGCTTTGGACAACTCTGCGAGCCAGATGGTCTGGATTCTTCAATAGATAATTTGCAAGAAAAAGAAAGAGGTGGGGTGGGCATCGGGAGC